TTGGACCCAAGACCTTGGGCTTGCTAGGCAGGCACATAAGCCACTGAGCTATCTCCCTGGCCCTATTTAATTTCTTAAAGGTCTTAAAAATGACCCTTTTGACTACAACTTTTTTTTTTTTTTGCGGTACTGGGTCTTGAACTCAGAATCTTGCGCTTGCCGGGCAAGTGCTTATTCTACTGAGCTATCTCCCCGGCCCCAAAAGTTTGCATCATACACTTGAGGCTCACAGTTCTGGAAGAGAGGGCCCAGTGGTTACTACTCCTAGCCACACCCACCCCACTACCTCAGGGAAGCAAGAAGAAGGGTATGGTCCCTGGACTACTTATGAATATGACAAAAGAGTCCCTAAAATAGACACAACAAATGTTAACTACAATTTCTATGGCCCATTTCTTTGTTGGACTGAGCTTTTCCCCATTATTTCATAAGAGTTTTATTTTCCAGATATTAATGACTTGTTACAAATGTTGCAAATATTTCATCCAAGCCTATTGCTTATTTCTAATTTTAGTTGTTAGATCTGTCTATCTTGTCTGTGGAGCAAAATATTATTTTTCCACATTGCATTTGTAAAATATTTATCATTCCCTGCATTTGGTTGTCATATCCTTAGACTCTGCTGTTCAGCTCTAGTAAATAAAATGTGTCCAAAATTAAGAGAATACTGTAATACACATCCTCAATGCCCCCCACTGCCATAGCCACCAACACATGACCAGTTCCGTTTCAGCCTCACCCTTCCTGATTCCTGCCACCAAACCTGCTGAATTATTTCAGATCAAATCTCAGAGGTATCATTTACCTGTAAATATTTCAGCATATAGCTCTAGGATACAGAATCTTTTCTTTTTCACTTACCTGCCAAACTACAGTATTACTGTGCCAAAAATAATTGACTAGAATGCCTTATCCAGTTAGTATTTGAATTTATCTGATATTCCCATGATTCTTGCAGTTGGTTTGTTTGAATCAAGATCCAAAGCCCAAGCCTTGCATGTATGGTAGTAGCCGTCTCTCAAGACTCTTTCACCCTACAATAATTCCTCCTTCCGCTCCCTCTTTTTTTCTTGCCATTTTTTAAAAGAGGCCATAAAGTGGCTGTGTAAAATCTTCTCTGCTTCCTAGATTTTTTTTTTTTTTTTTTTTTTTTTTTTTTTTTTTTTGGTGGAACCGGGGATTACCAGGCAAGCGCTTATTGTACTGAGCTATCTCCCCGGCCCTGCCTTCTGGAATTGACTAAAAGCATAGCTGTGGACATTTCTCTCCCACATCTCATAAATGGGTAGTTGTAGCTGGAGACCTAATTAGATTCAAGTTCAATGTTCTCTGACAAAATAATTGCACAGGCAAAGATGTATCATTCCTAGTACAAAACGTACTCTGGTTTCTCTTCCGATTAGATAAATTTTTCGCCTTTTACTATTACAACACAACAAAAGACAAAATGTCCATGGATTTTTAAAAATGGACCTCCTTTTTTCTAATATTTGTAACTTTCTTTCTTTCTCTGGATCAACTTCCAAATCCAGGCAAGGTAGCCACACTCTCCTTGTTTTGACTCTTGTCTTGAATGGAAACTTTCTTATCCTACTGTTCTAACTCTGGGCCATAACTCACCAGGGATACTTCCCATATCAAACACTCAGTAGGCAACAAAGTGCCTCTTACGCATACGTTATAGTATGTAACCATTCATTACTTCCTCTCTTTTTTCTTTTATTTATTTTTCATTTATGTATTTGGTACAGGGTCTCACTGTGCAGCTCAGATTTGTAGTGATTCTCATTTTTAATTTTTTTATTTTATTTTATTTTTATGTATTTAGTGTAGGGTCTACAGGGTCTCACTACACAGATCAGACTCATAGTGATCCTCCTATTTGCAGCCTCCCAAGCTCTGGGATTGCAGGCATGCGCCACCATGCACAGCCTCAGTCGCTCAGTCACCCATCTCAGCAAGCCCTGGGGGTGGGGCTGGCATGGCATGTGTGTCAGAGGATTGAACCCTGGTCCCTGTGCTTGCCAAAGCAGGCAGTTAGTCCGCTGAACTATCTTGACAGCCCTCTATTTATTTACTTACTTACTTACTTACTTACTTACTTACTTACTTAGTTCTTTTTCGGTGCTGGGGAATTAAACTCAGAGCTTCACACATGCTAAGCAAGTATTCTATACTCACACTATACCACTAAGTTACAGCTCCATCTCTCTCTCTCTCTCTCTCTCTCTCTCTCTCACACACACACACACACAAACACACACACAAACACACACACACACACACACACACACACACACACACACACACACACACAGAGTTTGATGAAGTTGCCCAGGCTAGACTCAAACTTTCAATCCTAAACCAGGCATGGTGGTATATGCCTTTACTTCCAGCACTCAGGAGGTTGAGGCCAGCCTGGGCTCCATAATGGAGACTGAGGCAGAAGGATCACTGTGAGTCCAACATGATCTACACAGTGAGACTGTGTCCCAAGAAAAAAAGGCAGGGGGGGCACTAAGAATGTAGTTTCAATTCCTAGTAACATCCTTCCCTCAATTGCTAATTATATTAAATGAAAAAAGTCATTTTGTTAAAAGACAAAAAATTCCAAAGAATAACATGTACAATTCAACTATTATGCCCAAGAGACACCTGAAACAGGTTGAGAGCAAAGTATGAAAAACACTAATGGATCCAATTCTAACCAAAATAAATTATCATATAAAGTGCACTTCATAAAAAAAAAAAGTGAGGGCCAGGGATATAGTTGAATAGGACAGAGCTGGCCTGGCAATTGCAAGGTCCTGATTTCAATTCCTGGTACAAAAAAAAAGATATTATTATTAAAGAGGGTCAAATAAATAGATAAATAAATAAAGAGGGTCAATTTCTAATAATGAAAGGTTCTGTTTCACAAGGAAGTACATTAGTATATCATATAGTATAATATAAATGTACAGTGTATACCTATATACTAAATAATAATCATGCTCTTTCTCTCCTAGCAGGCGGCGGCGGCACCTTCTTTTGCAACTATGGCCAAGATTAAGGCTCGGGATCTTCGAGGCAAGAAGAAAGAAGAGTTGTTGAAACAGCTAGAAGACCTGAAGGTGGAGCTGTCACAGCTGCGCGTCGCTAAAGTGACGGGCGGCGCGGCGTCCAAGCTCTCCAAGATCCGAGTTGTTCGCAAATCCATTGCCCGTGTTCTCACTGTCATCAACCAGACCCAGAAAGAAAACCTCAGGAAATATTACAAGGGCAAGAAGTACAAGCCCCTGGACCTGCGGCCCAAGAAGACGCGAGCCATGCGCCGCCGGCTCAATAAGCATGAGGAGAAGCTAAAGACCAAGAAGCAGCAGCGGAAGGAGCGGCTGTACCCTCTGCACAAGTTTGCCGTCAAGGCTTGAGCGGCATCACAATAAAACTCAAACTCTGGCAAAAAAAAAAAAAAAATAATAATAATAATAATAATAATAATAATAATCATTATGTGCAAAGTATAAAATTTTAAATCATAAGAGAAAAACAGCTGAGCTGTGAAAGGCTCAAGTCAACAACTTCTGACACTGCCAGTCTTGCGGATAACACACTACTATTATAGACTACTGGACTATATTGGATTACTCTGCTGAATTCATGCACCCACAATATATGAATGGCAATGGAACATACATCTCTGACAAAAGTTAACAAAAAAGGGGGATAAATGGACCATTTTGTAGTGGAAAAAAATATATACAACTGTATATACAATGCATAAGTGTACAGCTACTTTCTCTTAGTTCAATGAGAAGAAGGTTTTGAACTAAGAGTGTTTAGACACGCTATCATGTCTGCATCTTGTACTAGGAACAACTACTACAAAGACAGCAATATTCAATATATTAATTATTGTAACTGTACTACTAACCTGTTTTGGAACTATCTCATTGCTACTTCTTTCTCAATAAAATTATTAAAATATTTTTTAAAAAAGAAAAAAACAGGACTTGGGGTTGTAGCTCAGTGGCAGAGCTCCTGCCTTGCATGCACAAAGCCCTGAGTTTGATCCCCAGCACTGCAAAAAAAGAAAAAGACAAATCTACATTTATAGTAAAAGATTGTAAAACCTCCCTGTGAAGTGTCCTTATCCCCTTACTCACTGGATCTGATATCATGCAAATTGTGGCACTAAAAAATCTATCCATCTTTAATCAGTTCTGGACATGGTGGCAGCCATCACAGTGAAACTAAGAACATAAAAGAGAATTTCCAGAAATTCCAAAGTGCCAAGAATAAGAGATAAGCTTGTTCAAAGCAAGGGGAAGGGCTGGGAAGATGGCTCAGTGGAATAAGCACTGCCTTGCCAAGTGCAAGGGCCTGAGTTCAATCCCTTGTTTTACAAAAAAAAAAAAAAAAGTGAGGGGAAATATTTTGAGGGAGATTAATGACAATGTGTCAATGTATCTTTTACTATAATAGAGGGTTTTTTTAAGAGTTTTAAAATTTAAGTATCCACCCTGTTTTCAATGACACTGCACATTTCAGTCATTCAGCGAGCATCTTGAAGTCCTCACCAGTCTGCCCTCACTCCTGCCCTGCTTGCTGATTCTGTTAAGGTTGGTACTTCCCTTCAATGGTCCCGGTCGACTCTGGGTTTTGAACTTATGGTATTTGTCCCATCTGTACAAAGAGTTTCTGTTTGCTGTGATGAATACGACAGGTAACACTAAGTTTCATCAAAGTTTTTGAAGTTCTCAACAAATTGGGGTGGTTAGGTTCTAGAGGGTATTGCTGCAAATAGATGGTCTCCGGTAATGATCCTGTTTTCCAGCTGAGACTCAGAACAGAATAATATGCCTTAGCTCACACACCTGGAAATGACAAGGCCAGGCACTAACGTGCCACCAGGCCCATGAGTCACTTCTTATGATGCCACTGCCTGCCCAAGGCTCCCTCCTGCCAACCAGCCCGCACCCAGCTCCTAGAGTGCACTAAGGAGATAGCACAAAGGATGCTGAAATACATTTCTTTCTTTTATTTTTAAAAAAAGCTGACAGTAATAAGTGGCACAGTGTACACAGTGTCATTGGTTCCCCTCTCTCCACTCCTCCAAATCTCACCCATCATACACTTCTCAGCCTCCATCCTTCTCCCTCCCCAAGTATGTGGAGACCCCCAGACAGAAGGACTCCCAATACCAGACCTTGCCAGGGCACTGAGCAAATAAATTAGGGGGAAGGAGGCCTTGTGCTGGTCTGGTTCAGCTCTGTCTCACAGACCCAGCGGTAGGGCCTCTGGCACACGTCATCATTCCAGCGACCGTCAGGCGTGATGTGGGCACAGTCCTCGCCTCCTCCCAGCCCATGCCCATACCAGTCATCCGGCTGCAGCGGTGCCCAGTTCCTGTACATAGGAGGCAGCCATTCATCTCAGGAGCCCCGCCATCCCTGGGCTATGACTAGAAGGTGGGATAGTTCCAGACATGGCACACAGGGCTACAGGCCACACACACTCACTTGAAGCCTGTCTCATAGTCAGTCCCATCCACCCAATTCCAGGATCCATTTTGATCTGTTAGACCTATCCAGGTCTGTACAGAGCCCATGTGGTGCTGGACAAATCTCTGGGGAGAGAAGAGAAAGCTGCAGACCTCTCCCTTGGGCCAGCCAGCCTTCCAAAGAGCCCGCCAGGGCCTCACCTGTTTATCCCAGGAAGTGATCACCACCAGGTGGGCATTCTCCAGCTGGCAGTACTTGTCAGCTTCGAGCCAGGGCTTTCCAGACTTGGAGAACCAGTAGCAGCTGCCTTGGAACTCCACCCAGTTAACAGGGCAGCAGATGCTTTCTGAGCCTTAAGGGGGCAGGGAGGGAGAAAGGGCTGAGACGCTGTCTTGGAGCTGCAGGGTGCGAAGTAGGGCTGGGCACCCCCTCACCGTTGCCCTGGAGGACGGCCATCTGACAGCTCAAGCTTCGAAGGCTAGACACAAACTGCTTCACGTGGAACATCAAGCTGGAGTGCTCTGGGGAGGCAGAAGCCAGAGGGGGATGGAGCAAACAGCAATGAGGCCAGTATGGACATGGGGACAGGTGCCTGTAACTTTATGGAGACCAATTACAGATGCCCCCACAAAGACACCTTGATTTGGCCTGAGGCCCTCTATGCTGCACATACATCAATATAACATACACACACACACACACACACACACACACTGACATTTAGACCCCTCTCTGACCTTCACTCAGGTCCTGCTGCTGTTTTTCCAGCTGGGACTCCAAAAGCTTCATCTTTCTTCCCACACTGCCCCCTAGGAGAGAGAACTGCTCGGTGTCCAGACCTTCCTACAACCCCGCAGCCCCCCACTCCATACTCAGCCCCAGTCCTGCTCACCCTCGGAGCTCAGGGCCTTGACCTCGGCCTCGGTGCTCACTGTGAAGTTGTGAAAGGTCTCTCTCAGGGCCTGCAGCTCTCTCCGCAGCTGGGAGTCTGCGCAGGAGAGGTGTGAGCGGGACAAAATGAGGACACTGTGTTGGCCACGTTCACCCATTGCTCCGTCCCCTCACTGCTGTCCTCCACCAGCATCCCCAACCACAGGAGAGATCCTTTCTCTGCTTATCCCTGGACACCCACTTTGGGATCCGATCACACCGATAACCACCAGCAGCAGGATGCTGAGGCTCAGGGAGAGCAGGAAGAGGCAGGGTCCAGAGCAGAGACGCTGGCAGAAGGACTTGGGAGGAGGTGACCCTGCAAGAGAGAGTCAGAACTCAGGGACGCAGGCAAGCCTGGCACTGCTCCGGGGTTCTAGGAGGGATGAAAGTTAAGTCTCCTCTAGCAGACAAGGAGGAGCCCTGTGTGTATAGATTAGGAAATCTCGGCAGCGGGCCCGAGGCAGCGGGAAGCTGTGAAGGGGAGATGGCAAGGACACAAAGCTTTGACCTTTCCTAGCACTACTCAGACTTGAGACTTTGCTGACACCTAGTGGCATGACTATGTCATTGCCGCTTAAGAACCTCTTCAAAGACCTAGCCACTTGCCCTTGAAAGTTGAAGAAAAGGGTTTCCTCCTCTTTACATGAATCCCACGTGTATTTGGCTGTGTGCAGAGAGAAAAAGCGAGGCTCCTCCACCCAGGGAAAAGAGAACGACGGCCCTGTCTCCATGACTCTGGGGGCCTCACCTCCCTTTTCTCCTTCACTGCGTCCCTTACTCCAGCCAAAGTAAACCTCCAACGCCATCCGCAAGAGCAGCCCTAAACAATAGTTCCTGCTCCGAAAGCAAGGAAGCGGCTTGCTTTGGATTTAGGGAGTCCAAATCATCAGAGCAGAGACCCTCAGGCTCCTGGCAGGCCTCTTCAACTTACTACCTTTAACCATGCTGATCCCAGCACCATACACATATACCATGCGCGTGCGCGCGCACACACACACACACAACCACCATACATCATACACACATACAAAAGAGCACACACAGACCACAGAGTCACAACCCATGCACCCCCCACCCCCCACACACACACAACCACCATACATCATACACACATACAAAAGAGCACACACAGACCACAGAGTCACAACCCATGCACCACACACACACACACAAGACAGAGGGACATAACTTCAGAAGGAACTGACAATGCACCCATCTCTTAGCCTCCAGCCTTGGGGTCCTGGGAAGCAAGTGGCATGCAAGGAAGCCTGGGCTCTGTCACCAATGAAGGGTGACCAACTCCAAACCCTGAACCTCCCCTATCAGGGGCAAGTCAGCCACTGTTTTCAGTATGGATGAGGCAGAGCCAGGGATCATGGGAAAAGCAGGAGCCAGGGCTGGGAGCACAGCTCTAGAGCAGAGCATTTCCCTAGCTCCTCCATGAGGTCCTGGGCTCAATCCCTAGTTTCACTCAGGAGCTGACAGTGAGGGGCCAAAAGCCACTGAATATAGCATCTCTCACCTCTTTGGAGCTGCTGATGATCCTTTTCCTCATGGTCCAGGTGCTGGAGATCTTGATACTCCTTCGTCATTATAAGACTGCTGCTGGACCCTGGATGAGTCAAGGCTAAAGCTGAGTGGAAATGGGGTGGAGGTAGGATCTGACTCCTTTTTACATCCAGCTGCTGACTCCTTTCTTCTTTCCTGCACCCCCTCCCAGACCTGACATCCAAAATCCATCCTCTGCCATTTCCCACCATGTAATGTTCACACGCACACATACACACCCACACACACACACACACATACGCATGCATGCACACACAAAATCCCCTCACCCCCCCACTGTCAATTCCCCCCACACCTTTGTCCCCGTTTTACTTGCTGAATGTCTCAAAATATGACTCCCAGGTTCCTTAGTGCCGTGCAGATCCCAGGCTAAGGAGAGGCCTGAAGTCTGGAGAAGTGGGGTGGGTGGACAGCCCTAGACGATGGGAGGGAGGGACAGGGTCCATATGAGGGCCCTGAGACCTGTGTATCTAGGTGTCTGAGCACACTAAACCTGGCATCCCCAGCACCTGGGACTTTGGACAGTAAACAGAAGTGGACATGGATTTGGAATGTGGGGGATGGGTGGGGATGGGAATGGAGGATGGGTTGCCTCTGCTCTTCTCCCCAGAGAGGGGAAGTCTCCTGGGCTGTATTCACATATACCCCAGTCACCTAACTCCCCACTGCATGATTTGGGAGGGGGAGCCAGGCCTGGGGACAGTTTACTGTTTCGCTCTGCCCTCCCCCTTCCAGTTCCTGCCTCTCAATTTCCCAGAACTGTTGGTGTCTCCAAATATTCCTGACTAAGATCAGAGAGAAGGGCAGGTTTCCTGCTCTTACCCAACCTGGGCCAGTGACCCTGGCACCCAGATGGCAGGCCATACCTTCCTATGGGTTCAGCCCCAGGCGCCCCAGCCCCACCCTGACTTTCTCCCCTGGGGAGTCCAAAGACCTCCAAGCAGCATGGGAGTGGTGTTGGAGCTGGTGGGGAGCCTCAGCTGGCAGCGATCCAACAAACCTCTACCGCTCTCTTCTGCCACCTCCTGTCTTCACTTCAGAGCTTTGTATTCATTCACTTCTCTTACCAGCCCCAGAGCACAACCATTTTGCAGCTGAGAAAGCTGAGGCTGTGGGAAAGCAAGAGTTTGCAAGGAAGAAGCAGAGAGAAGACTGACACATGAGCTGCCCCTGGAACCATACTGAGAATTGGGATTCCGTCCCAACCACAATCCGGGACCCTGGGGGTGCTGAACATCATCCCTCGCAGCCCCTGAAGACAGAGAGGGTTGTCTGAGTTCAAATGAACTTGGAAATCGGACAATATTAAAGATGCTAACAAGTCCTGATTTAGGCTCCACATGCGAAGTCATGCAAATCCTACTTTACAGATATTTCAGGGAGAAAAACCAGACTTGAATTGTGAGAGTTCCAGATTATGTGAGATATTCAGGGACGTGTTGCTTGCATAAAATGTGACAGCTTTGTGTGTGCCCTTGTTTTTCTATATCCCAAAAACCCTGTGTCATTTGCATGCACTGGGCTACTGGCCTGTGATTTTTGGTGACAATTTGTCTGTTAATTTAATGCTTACAATCTTGTTTATTCAGGCAAATGACCCTATACTGTTTTGGTCAGAATAGCGCTTACTCTCAACGATGGCAGTGGTTCATGGGAAACACGAGGGAGGCCTCAGGAAGGGAACATCCACCTTCTTGGTCTGGATGCCGGTTACACAGCGGCACCCAGCTTGCAAAACTTCAGAAGCCCTTTGCAGTCTGCATTTTTCTGTTGGTTGTTGTACTGGAATGTTTTGCAATCTTGTTTTGACCCTGTAGCCATGCTCTTCAAATTCACTGATGAAGGCATAATGCAATGTGTGTGTGTGTGTGTGTGTGTGTGTGTGTGTGTGTTTAAATGATTCTTCTTTAGACTTCTATCTAGAAAGATATGTTTTCAAATGTAATTAATAAATGTGTACTGCTGTATGTTTTAGTTATTTATTGCTACAAAATGATTACCCCAAATCTTTGCAACTTTTGTACGCACAAGATGGGTGGGGCAGTGATCCTGGGGTACATCAGCAGGTTATTGAGACTAGCGGTTGGCTGGTGAGATTCTCACCCTGACTAATTCTATATGCTGGTGCCCGTGAGCCAGGCGGCTGTACTAAGGATGGCGATGAGTAATAGAGGGGTCACGCTTGGAGTGCCTGCCATCCTGGTCTTCTAAATATGTACTTCTTGTCATGACATACCATTTATTGCCATAATGTCTTTTTTTTAACATTTATTTAGTGTGTGTGTGTGTGTGTGTGTGTGTGTGTGGCCAGCTCAGCCCACCAGGGGGCAAGGCTGGCTGGCATGTAGTGCTGGGGGATCGAACCGCGGTCCCTGTGCTTTGCCAAGCTTGTCCCATGTAGGTGCTTTAGACCACTGAGCCATCTCGCCAGCCCCTGCCATAATGTCTTTCAAGTAAATTTTTTAAAAAGGGTAATAAATGAAAAAAAAAATCTTTGCAACTTAAAACAATGATCGCATCTCATTGATAAACTTGATCATCTCACTCAGTTCTGGTTTTTTCTTTGTTTTGGTGCTGAAGATGGAACCCAGGATCATGCACATCCTCAGGCCATCTTAGTTACTTAGGGGGCATCTTAGCTAATTGATTCTGGCTCAAGGTCTTTCAAGGTACCAGTCGGTACCACATTCATTAGAAGACTTGACTGTGACCACAGCAAGCACCAAGATGGCAGAAAGGTAAGCAGTAGAGAAAGAACCTCACTGAGAGTCGCTGTCCAGATGCTGGAATATAGCAGTGTGTGGAACACAAGGAGGGAAATGGGTCACCTGAACCCAGGAAGGATCTGAAGCATAAATTGAAGCCCACAGAGAGTGAAGAGAAAAACTTCAACAAAGGAGGTAGCTGGTAGGTAGTCCTTCTCCCTAAGATAGGACTCACTACACAAGAAGAGCAGTTCATACCTTGAGACACACGCTGACTGCTGGCAACACCAGAGGTCTCCACGGAGAGATACACAGTAGAGAGGAGCAATGGATGTTAAGGACTGCACTAGCAGGTGATGAGTACTGAGCACTCACTGGTCTCACACAAAAGAGCAATTGGCCAGGACCCAACTTGGAGAGGGGCTAGCCAAGCTCAGAACTCAGAGCAGCAGCTGGCTCCATCTAGTGGCACTCAGCTGGGCTCAGGCCCACAAAATTTATGCTGATGACTGCAAGCTGAATGAGTCTAGTCCCTGCCAGAAGGTGCAGGTTCACTGAGATTATCCACTGCCCACACTAAAAAGCTATTGCTTGCTTGCTGGGATAAATCAACATGGACCAGAACTCTGTCTCAACACATTATCTACTAGTGATAGCAGACATACCTGGAAGTAGACTTTTTCTTTTTTATTTCCCCGTCTCTCTTGTTTGTTTTTACTGTGGTGGGGGTAGTTTTTGTTTTGGTTCTGTGCCTTTGTTTTCTCTCCTTCATTGTTCAATCTTGTTTTTATATGAGTATGAACTTGGTTTCTAAACTCTGCTGGGAGCAGAGTGTATAGAAGCCACAGAAAAGAGTGTATAGCAGCTAGAAAATTGTGAAAGCAAGACTAGGCCTCAGTACCTAAAGCACTCAAGCTACCTCAGTCCTGAAATAAACATCCTGACTAGTTAATGTCAGCTATTACTCACTAGGCAACCTTGTATCATGTGTTACTAACTTTGCAAAGGTAGAAATACATGTCCATACTGTTGCTCGGAGGATGAAGGGGTCGTTTCACCAACAAGCAAACAGGCTACCACCAAACCCAGCTCTTGTCTTCTTGTCTATCTTTTCCTCATTCCTGCTGCCATCCCCTCCCCCAAGTACAATGGATCACACAGAGATCAACAGAGCTCATCTTTATGGTTATGACTATGTTCTGTTCTATTCTATTCTTCTTAACTCTTCCTTCTCTCTTTCCCTCCAGTCTTCTGCACCAGTTTTCCAAAGTTAGAGTGATGCCCCCCTTGTCCTGCAGCCTTACTTCTAATCTCTTCCTCTTCCATTGATCTATTTTCTTCCTAATCCATTTTAAGTTTTAACTCCTGGGATCAAAACTGACATATTAAGGACTTATATACTACATATAGTTTTCTTGTCTGTTTTAGATGTTACAATGTAACTACAAATCTACTTCAGTTAAAGGTGGAATAGGAATGGCTACCTCAGTTTTTCATTTTCTAGGCTGTGATTGTTGCTACTGTTATTGCTGATGGTACCACTTTAGCCAAAAGTTTAGACATAATTGTTCTAAACAGCTATTTTCACTGGTATTCCAAAACTGAGATTGACTAAGGATCATAGAAAATATTGTGTCACAGTGCCAAAGAACCAGGAGCTGAGCCAAACAGGTAGCAGCTTCCAATCCCCAACAGGTTGAAGAGATAGGATTTTACAACAGACTCAAAACACAAAAACCAACTGTAGTGGTTGATACACTGTGTCAACTTGAGAAGTTAAAAGCTTAATTAAATCAGTTCAGCAATTCCATATCCTAGGGCATGGAGGTCCTATCCTAGAGTGTGGAGAGGCCTCCATAGAGTGACTCAGCACAAAAATGATATTAAAAAGGGACCTAAGGAAGGATGAAGGGCATCACTTCCTCAGAGGAGCTCCAGTCTTCACAGTCAGTGTGGATGAGAGAGAGGCTTGCCAGCCACCACAGCTGCATCTTCTCCCTTTGCTCTTTGCTGTTTTCCACTGCCATGAACCCCTGCCTCTTCCATGTGCCAGTCTGCCTTGGAGCCAGCAGAGTCTGGGCTGAAACCTCCACTAACTATAAGCGAAATAAACCTTTTCTTCCTTAATTTTTGATGTCAGGTATTTTGTCCCAGCAATAAGAGAAAAGTAACTTAGACACCAGCCATACCTGGAAAATAACTCAGAGAAGTAGTCATTCCCTAAAGGGTCTAAATCCTAGCAATAAAGCAACCCACCAGAGACAATCTACAACCCAGGAATTAAACCAAAAAAGAAAAGAAAATGAGAAGACAATGAAACAAGATGAAACCCTAAACATTCAGTTCACCAAAGGCAAAAGGCAAACTGAGGGGGCAATGAGGGCAACCAGTCTGAAAACCACCCACCTAGCCTCCTTAAAATGGTAACAAGCAACTGAATGAAGCTCTAGAAAAAAATCAGAACAAAAAAAAAGAAAAAAATCAGATGAAAAATAAATTCTCAGGGGCTGGAGAGATGGCTCAGTGGTCTAAAGCACCTACTTGGAACAAGCTTGACAAAGTATAGGGACCGCGGTTCAATCCCCCAGCACCACATGCCAGCCAGCCCTGCCCCCTGGTGGGCTGAGCTGGCCACACACACACAATAAATAAATGTTAAAATAAAAAAATAAAATAAAATAAAATAAAGAAAAAGAAATTCTCAGATAACTGTATGGATGGTGTCCACAAAGAAAATCATGCTTAGTGACTCTAGCACAGATACAGACCAAAAAATAAATTTAAAAAAA